TTGCCTGTTTAATGCTCTGTAAATTGCTTCAATCTGTTCGCGTGTACGCGCATTTTTCTCCGGCCCATCTTTATCGTGTAATTCACATCGTTGTGCTTTTCGAGGATTATATAGGGTCCTATCCATTTCGATTCCAATTTTTTGGATCTCCCTCTCCTAACTGTTTCATCATATAGGAGAACCTTGTCGCCTACTTCGAACTTCTCCTTTCTCGCGGATTTATCGTATTGTCGCTTAGCTTTGATTTTCTCCGCTTGCGCGTGTTCCCGTGCTACCTGGTTTGTAGCGCGTATTCGCTCGCGTAATTCTTGTGCGTAATCTTCGTATGAGTACGTCGTTTTTGGCGGTCTTGTTAGCGCGGTTGGTAGAATGGCTTGATGGCCATACATTAATTCAAAGGGTGTAAACCCTGTCGCCGTATGTGGCGTCGTGTTATACGCGAACATCGTACGGTATCCATTTATCCCAGTCGTTTTGTTTCTCATTTATGTAATGCCGGAGGTATTCAGCTAGCGTTCTATGTGAGCGTTCTAGCGCTCCATTACTTTCGGGGTGATACGCCGTTGTTTGTATTTTTTCTATCTGTAGTAATTTGCACGTATTTTTAAACATTTCACTAGTGAAATTAGTGCCTTGATCGGTAAGGATCTTTTCTGGCGTTCCGTGCTCCATCACTATTTTGGTCACGAATGCTTTAGCGACTTGGTGCTCGCTTCTTGGTTATTTATGGGAATAGCTTTGCTAAACTTAGTTAAATTATCCTGGAAAGTTAAAATATATTTGTTTCCACGAGTCGTCACTGTTAGCGGTCCTACTATGTCCAAAGCGCATTTTTCAAATAGTGATGTAGGCGTGTCTGTAATTACTAACGGCAATTTTGTCTTCCTACTTAACTTGTTCTTTTGACAATACTGACATTTGCTTATATATTCTTCGACGTCTCGAGTGATACCTTTCCAGTTGTGTAGTAATCGGATACGGTTCAACGTTCGCCCGACCCCCTGATGCCCCCCTAATGGAGCGTCATGATACTCGTACAGTATGCGGCGTTTTTCCTCCGCCGTATATTCTGTAATCGTCATCTCCTTTTTCTCTTCTTTTTCCTGTCCTTCTTCCTCCTTATCCATGAGATTGACGTGAGGGCCGTCCGTGACCGGATTCCTGCTCAATGCATCGGCGTTCGTGTTATTTTTCCCGGTTTTGTGTACGATTTTATAATCGTACTCTTCCAATTTCAGTCTCCAACGTATTAGTCTAGAGCCTGGATCATTTACATTAAATAGCCAAACTAACGGTCTATGATCGGTGACGATAGTAAATGTCGTCCCGTATAAGTAGGGGCGGAAATGCTTCACTGCCCATACTATCGCTAACAATTCTTTCTCAGTCGTATTGTAGTTTTGCTTTGTTTAGGATACGGCTCGCGTAAGCTACCGGCCGATCCTGATCTACGGGACCTTGCGATAATACGGCTCCGATTGCGAAGTCCGACGCGTCAGTCGTTACCACGAATTCTCGAGTAAAATCCGGGTAACTCAGTATAGGTGCTGTTGTGAGCTTCACCTTTAAGAGTTCAAATGCGTTTTGTTGCTCTATTTTCCACTCGAATTTTACTCCCTTTTTAGTCAGGCTTGTTAGAGGCTTTGCAATTTTTGAAAAATCCTCTATGAATTTCCGGTAATATCCGGCTAATCCTATGAACGATTGAATATCCTTAATCTTCTTCGGCACAGGAAATTCCTTCACGGCGCTTATTTTACTGGGATCTGGTCGTATTCCGACTTCGGTTATGATATGTCCCAGATATATTACCTCTTTCCGCAAGAACTCGCACTTATCGGGTTGCAGCTTCAAGTTATATTTCCGTAAACGTTGCATTACTTCGACAAGGCGTTTGTTGTGTTCCTGTAGGTTTGATCCATAAATGACTATGTCATCCAAGTATACCAGGCATCTCAAACCTTGTATTCCAGCTAATATAGTATTCATTAGCCTTTGAAACGTTGCGGGTGCATTTTTTAACCCGAATGGCATCCGGTTGTATTCATAGTGCCCCTGCGAGGTGGAGAAAGCCGTTTTACTCCTGTGTTCCTCGCTCATAGGGATCTGATGATATCCAGCCGCTAGATCTAGAGTTGAAAAATACTTTGCGTTTCCCAACTGATCCAGAATGTCGGTGATATTTGGCAAGGGGAACGAGTCGCCTATCGTCAAGTCGTTAAGCTTCCGAAAATCTATCACGATTCGTAACTTCGGTTTTCCGGGAGTGTCGCCTTTCTTTGGAACGACCAGTAGCGGTGCGTTCCACTGACTTGAACTAGGTCGAATGATCTCGTCCCTCAACATTTTGTCTATCTGCCTGGCCACCTCTTCTTTATGTTTTTCCGGCAGCCTATATGGTCTTACATTGACCGGCGCACTATCGGTGCGCGTATTAATTTCATGCGCAACCGTTGTTGTTTGTGTTAACACTTCGCCTTCCAAATGGAAAATATCATTAAAGTCTTCGCATATCTGCTCAATGGCTTTCTTTTCTTCGTTATTTAAATGCTCGCTCCTTATCTGCATTCGTACGCGCTCGTGCCGCGGTAGTGTGAGTGCGCTGCTCACATTACCTGTCTTTTTCAGTGTGAGTACGGCCTCTCGCTCACTCACCCGCAACTCTTCTATTGTAACGAGTGGCGTAATTATTTCAATAGGCTTCTCCGTTGTATTCAGCATGCTTACCGGGCACGTATATGCATCAGGTGCTACCAGACAATTTCCAATAAATATTCCGGGTCTAGTTTCCTCGGACCGTATAATTCCTACTCGATTTTTATCTGCTACCGCACGCACTATTGTTTCGCTGCGCGGCGTTAAAGTTATTTTCTGGTACGGATGGAGCTTCAATTTTACTCCGTCGATTTGCAAGTAATTCTTTTGATCGCTCTTTATCTTATGTTTCTGTAAGAAATCCATTCCAAGGATTCCTTCATAATCTACAGGAAAATCATCTCTTACGACATGCATAGTATGTCTTATTTCCTTATCGCCTAAATATACTGTATCTTATTTTCCCGATAGTTTTTATCTGATGCCCTGTCACCGGTAAGGGCCATTGGCTTCTCTCGTATGAGCGTCTCACCCTTTAAGTTTCCTACTTTCTTCAAAGTGAGCGTAGCACCGGTGTCTAGCAAAAGATTTATCCGACCTTTTTTCATTTCTTTTATTGGTAGTGTAACGAGTCGAAGGCCGGTATTAGCGTACTTTCCGGTTACTTGCGTGATTTGATGCTCGTGCGCAGCCCGCGTTCTTCGCGTCTTCCTTCTCTCCTTTTCTTCTTCGCTGCTACCGTACGACGATTCTTCGCTCTCGCTTTGCTGCTTATTCTGTTTTATCTTTACGGCAGAGTTTACACGCTTCGCTCTGTGATCGGTGTCTCGTTTCGCGCGTTGTTTCGTATCTTTGTCGGGCCGTCCGTTTAAGGACCAGCATTCATTTCTCTTATGTCCCGCTCTTTTGCAATACGTGCAATACTTTTCCGCGAGATTTATGCTTGCTGGTTTTTCGGCTCTGGGCAATGAAAATTTAGTTGCATACCGGCTTGATCGGCAATCTCGCCCCAAATGTCCTATTTTTCCGCATTTGCTGCATTGTACGCCCGTGTTTTTTAAATTTTGGTTTTGACCGTTCTTATAGCGCTCATTATAGTTGGCTCGTAGAGTCGGTCCCTTTACTTTTTCTTCCGCGCTCGCGGCATTAATGGCTTCTTGTAAGCTAGTATATTTCTGCGATCGTACCACTAGTTTAATATTCTCTCTTAATCCCAGCTCGAAATTCAATAAGGCTTGGTCTTGGATAGTTTCTAAAATGGCTCGCTTTTGCTCACTTGTATTGTCGCATTTTTCTATGACCGATTCGTATAACTCCATTGCCAGAGTATCCACGCGTCGTCCGAACGTGTGAACACTTTCTCCTGGCTTTTGTTTTAAGGCGTTAAATTCTAATTGCAGATGTGATGTTCCACGTTTTCCCAAATAGTTGGCTTCTATTTCGCGCCGCAGTTGTTCAAAATCTCTTATACTTCTAGTTTGAAAGTCTAATAGAAGTTTTCCTTTCAATTTTGTATTTAGAATCTCTTCCAACAGAGCTGGTTTGTCCGCGTAATTTATCTTCTCTATTGCGTACGTGCTGGCACTTAAGAATCCCTGCATTTTCTGACGCGAGTGTCCATCTATTTCCGGTATCAAGCTGCGTGCGTCTTTTAGACGTAGATATCCCGTTGGGCGGTCTCGCAGTTCTCGTACGTCATTTATTGTTCGCCCGTACGTTACGTTCAATGTTCTGTGCTGATCGTCGAGTCGTGATAGTCGGAAATTTTCGCGATCGTAGTTTGCAATTTCTATTCTACTTATTCTATCTTGCACTCCCGTAATTGCTTCTAACACTCTGTCTAATATCTGTTCTTGCCTAGATGGAAGGGGTAGGCG